TTCTTTTTATGTACACCGAGAGCATTTGCACCAAGACAAATTCCTTGGGTGTCCAATCCCACTTGGCCAATAAAAGAATTCTAATTCTAATGTTCTTTTAATCAAGAAAGGATACTATTTTCCAAAGCACCAGAAGGCAGGAGACGAAGCAACGGATGGAAACTGATCAAGCAACCTGGACTAAGGTGGAATTTCCTAACAGTGAGGACAATCGACCAGTGGAACAGCCTGCCACCAGAAGTTGTGGGTGCTTCATCGCTGGGAGGCTTTCAAGAAGAGACCGGACAGTCACTTGTCTGAAATGATACAGGAGTCTCCTGCTTGGGCATGGGGTTGGACTAGAGGACCTCCAAGGTCCTTTCCAGCTCTGTCGTTCTGTTACTCTGGAGAGGAACACCTCAAGCAAATTTGCAAAGAGGTCATTCCTCTTAACTGAAGTTTTGCAAGCTCGATCATTGTCCCATCTTCAAAGAAAGCAAATCTAGCACCCCTCCGGATTATACATCCTGGAAGGGAATTCAGGCAGCCCTCGATTTATAACAGTTCATTTAGCGACCGTTCAAAGATACAACGGGCACTGAAAAAAGTGACTTGTGACTGTTTTTCACACTTAACGACTGTTGTAGCATCCCGGTGGTCATATGACTTATATTCAGACGCTTAGCAACCGACTCGTATTTACGACAGTCGCAGTGTCCTGGGGTCACGTGATCCCCTTTTGTGACCTTCTGACAGGGCAAAGTCCGTGAGGAGGCCAGATTCATTCACTTAACAATTGTGTGACTGCCGTGGTTCACTTAGCGATGGTCGTAAAACAGGGCAAAACTCACTTAAGAACTATCTCGCTTAGCAACAGAACTATTGGGCTCAATCGCAGTCGTTAAGTCGGTCTACAGTCGAAGGGAATAAACCCAAGGTGTGAGGACCCGGGGTTTGACACAAAAATAACGTCACAAAAGTAGAATAAATTCCCTTTAATGCCTCCAACCTGGGTCTCAATGTCCAATTATCCTTGGCTGGAGATCAAACTCTTCCAAAACCAGTCTACAAATGGAGTAAATGCAGTCCTAACCCAAAGTAAAGATAATTAGAAATTTAAAAAAACCAACACAAATCACACTGAAGTCATTAACACAGCCGGGCCAGGATGATAAATTGCAGACTTCCACAAGATAACACAGCAACCGCAGTTGGGAGGACGTTAAAACCCAGATAAGCCTTGACAAAGATAATGCACGCTTTGCATCCAGCAAGGAGCTGTGTGCACACGCTCCACTTATACCCTGTTCTCCTAGCTGCAACCAATGAAAGGGATCAGGGCCCTTTTCTCCCCCCATAATCCACCTTGCTCCCTTCTCCGTTCTTCCCTGTGTGCCCTAGGATGAAGAGGGGGTGGGCCTGGGTCTTCCTCTGAATGTCCAGCCGGACTGGGCCCTTCCACCGGAGCCATACCGTCAGCTGCTCAGCCTTCCCCTCAGAATCAGATTCCAACAAGGGCATGACACAAGGTTTCTTTTGGGGGCTGGAAAAAAGAGGAAAATCAGAACGAATTGAAATGGAAAAATTTCTTAGGCGATGCTGGCTAGTTTGAGGAAAAAAATTTCCTTTTTGATTTTGGTGGAATTAAGAAAAAAAACGACAAGACTGCTTTGTGGGGGAAAAAAAATCTACATTACTAGTATATATTGTAGGTCATTTATTGTTCCCGTTGCCCTGTGCTTTTAATTGTGGTTGGCCGCCTGGATTCACTACAATAAGGAAGGGCAGTCGTATAAATGGGATAATAAAACCGATTTTTAAAAAAAATAAAATAAATGGAACCCTCTTGAGAGAAGGAAGGTTGTGTTTTGCGTAGGTTTGGAAGGACATTCAGGAAAACATTTTAAAGGGGTAGCAGTCCTGAGGCAGGGAGGGGGTGGAATTGGAAATCAATGATCATTTATCCCAGTGGTGGCTAACCTTTTTGGGCTCCTGGGCCCAAAATTGTGCATGTGTGCGTGTACGCTCTTGCTCGCGTGCCAGCATCCAGAAGGCAATGTGCACCCTCCACTGTCCCCTACGTAGGCGCATGCAATCCTCACCCACCGCCCTCTGTACGGTACCTCACAGCTGATTTTTGGCCGATTTTTGGCCTCCTCCCAGAGGCTTCAGGGAGGCTTCTGCAGGCTTTGCAGGTTGAAAACTAGGCCCATGTTGTCACTTCCAGTATTTCCAGAAAAATAGGAAGTGATGAAACAGGCCTAGTTTTTGACCTGCAAAGCCTGCAGAAGCCTTCCTCAAACCTCAGGGAGGCCAAAAAAAGGCTTCAAACTGGCTGAAAATCAGGTGTGAGGCGCACGTATGCACACTAAGGTAAATTTGCCTGCACCTCGCATGCTGGCACAAATGGCTCTGCGTGCCACCTATAGCACACACGGCATAGGTGCGCCATCATGGATTTATCCCCTTCTGAGGAAAATTCTCATTTGTGGGTAATTGCACAAACTGTGAAGGTAATGCTCGAATTACTAAATAGGTGACACAAAAGTGTGAATTGCTCAACCCTACGAGAAGAACAAGCTTCAATTATACCACAGTTGCTTGTTATTTCTACATGTTTATAATTTTTTTTCGCACCCAGCAAACACAGACGTTCGTTTTCTGCTCAGCTGAAAATTTAGGGAGTCTGCCTTATGGGTGTATAGGTAGTCCTCAACTTGCAACCATGATTGAGCCCAACATTTCCGTGGCTCCGTTTTACGACTTTTCTTGCCGCCATGGTTAAGTGAATCACGGCAGTTCTTCACTTAGCGATCCGGTTGTTAAGTGAATCTGGCTTCCCCCATTGATTTCTGCTTGTCAGAAGGTCGTAAAAGGGGATCGTGTGACATCCCCCCGGGAGACTGCGACCATCGTGTGAGTCCATTGCCAAGCGTCAGAATTTGGATCAGACAAAATAAGATGAGCCACTGTCTGGCTAACAACCTATATACAGGTAGTCCTCGACTTACAACGGTTCGGTTCATGACCTTCTGAAGTTACAATGGCCCTGAAAAGAGCAGCTTGCGACCATTTTTCACCCTTATGCCCATTCCTGCATCCCCATGATCACGTGATTTACATTCAACTGACTCGTAGTTACGACGGGGACAA